CCCTCCCCACTCACCCCGCCCATGACTCCTGCAGGCTCTCAGGTCAAAGTGAAAGTGAAACCTAACTGTCTGCGCTAAAGGTGACATAGATACTTTATTATGGTATAGTATTTAAATATATGTCTGAGAAACACATAGAATTGACCCTTTCAAAGTTGTTTTAACACAGCTGACTGCATCCCCACCTCCCTCTCCTCCTCCTGCAGAGGAGGCAGAGACAGAAACAAGGAGGCATTATTTAATGTTACAAACTGCAGCCACTAAATAACATTTGTCAGATTTTTTTTCTTTCTTAAGGTGAGTGAAAGGCAGGACTGTGTGAGCATGTGTCACTTTGTGGGACAGGTGCACTGTTTATCTGTGCTATTATAAACCCCTTATCATTTACAGGGTGACACATTTCAGGAAAATAATCTTATAGTGTACGTCACATGACCCGGGTGTTAAAGTAAGTGTTAAAAAAGATGTAGTAATTGTTGCTGTTTGGTTGCAGAAACTTGTTTTATGTGTCTTAGTTTTTGAAACTGGACTCAACTAGTTAATGGTTATTTTTAATTTAATTATACAACAGTACATTTGACTGTAACTTAGGTGGACCCTCCAAAAATTTTTTATTTGATTTGACAAACAGAAGAAGTCCTTCAGTCTGGACTCACCCCATGATAGCCGGCACAGTCCCATCAGGCTTGGTGTCGTCCAGCGTCAGGCCGATGGGAGCCCCCTCCTCCTCGATCACCATGCTGCCACAGTACCCTGAAGACAGGTGAAACATTAAAAGCAGCTCTCAGCTGCCTCCAACCCACCTCTGCMTCCTGCATACCCTTTTTCCTCCAGAAGTTCTCCTTGTAGTACACCATGCACTTGATGACACAGCCCATAGGGACCCGGTGGATCAGCTGGTTCCTCAGGGGGGGCAGCTCGGGGTTAAAGTGCATCTTCAGGTTCAGACCAGGAGGCGTGGCCACGATCACGTATTTGGCCTAAAGAAACAACACATGTCATCTGAAGAAGGAACATTTTCAGGTAACATCAGAGTGTCCAGTAGGTGGCAGCAAATCAACACTTTTATTCTTTACAGCTATTAGATGTTAAAATAGTTATTTACTAACTTAGTTTTTATAACACCAACAAGATATTATAATAATATATGAGTTTAACTTAGTGTGAGAGCTGAAATCTATTAAAATCTACACAGTCTTTTAAAGGAAACTAACAGGATCCATCCTGTCACAGCTTTGATAGAAACAGTTTGTTCACACAGTAAAATAATTGTTTATCATCATGTTGTTGGCAGTAAACATTTATTTACCCTGTAGGTCTGTTTGTCCAGCGTCTCCACCAGCACCATGTCCCCAGTCTGGTCCACCCTGCAGACTGGTGACTGCAGCTTCACTCTGTCCCCCAGCTCGTTGGCCATGCACTCACTGATCTGACTGGAGCCCCCAACAAACTTCCTCTCCTGCAGGGGTCAACAGACACACAACAGCTCAGTCAGGGGTCAACAAACACACAACAGTTCAGTCAGGGGTCAACAGACACACAACAGCTCAGTCAGGGGTCAACAAACACACAACAGCTCAGTCAGAGGTCAACAGACACACAACAGTTCAGTCAGGGGTCAACAGACACACAACAGCTCAGTCAGGGGTCAACAGACACACAACAGCTCAGTCAGGGGTCAACAAACACACAACAGTTCAGTCAGAGGTCAACAAACACACAACAACTGAGTCAGGGGTCAACAAACACACAACAGTTCAGTCAGAGGTCAACAAACACACAACAGTTCAGTCACAGGTCAACAGACACACAACAGCTCAGTCAGGGGTCAACAGACACACAACAGTTCAGTCAGAGGTCAACAAACACACAACAACTGAGTCAGGGGTCAACAAACACACAACAGTTCAGTCAGGGGTCAACAGACACACAACAACTCAGTCAGAGGTCAACAGACACACAACTGTTCAGTCAGGGGTCAACAAACACACAACAGCTCAGTCAGAGATCAACAGACACACAACTGTTCAGTCAGGGGTCAACAGACACACAACAGTTCAGTCAGAGGTCAACAAACACACAACAGCTCAGTCAGAGG